ACCTGCCTCACTGGTCATGGATCATGGCTGGGAGCCCTCCGCAAGGTCAGTTTCCTCCAGGTTTCCTTCTAAACGTGGACTAACCTGCCATCTGGTAGCCCCGCTCCCCTACCACCACCCCACTGGAGGTGGGCTCCAGCATCTTTACCTTGGCTCCTCCGGGGTGATGGCAGAGGAGTCCGGGCACCTCCTCTCAGAAATGGGTCGTGGATTCCCACAGCCTCCCCCTACCTACTCCACCCAACCCCCCGGAGGGTTGGAGGCCCACTATAATAAAGGGCCACACATTGAAGGACTTTAAAACAACACAAATAGATCATTTCACAGTTCTGGACGTCCTAAGTCTAAAAGAGGTCTGCATTCCTTCTGGAGATTCTGAGGGCGGGGCAGAGTGCCTTGTCCAACCTCTCCAGGCAGCCAGCTGGTGGTCCCTTCCAACTCTGCATGGTTGCAGAGGGCTCCCAGACAGTCTGTGACAGGTGAGGCAGACAGACTCCCATCCTTCTCTCGATGCAGAATCACAGGTGCTTGCCTGTCTCTCTGATTCTGCTTCTAAATTCTTCATATCACCTTCTTCTGCCCCCTTCTTATAAGGAACATTGTTTACATTGAGCCTTTTCAGATCATCCAGATAATGTCCCCATCATGAGATACTTAATTTAGTAACATCTGCAATGTTCCTTTATCATAGAAAGCCTCTAGAGCAGTGGTTCTCAACCTGTGGGTCGCGACCCCTCTGGAAGGTCAAATGACCCTTTCACAGGGGTCGCCCGATTCATAACAGTAGGAAAATGACAGTTATGAAGTAGCAACGAAAATGATTTTATGGTTTGGGGGTCACCACAACATGAATTGTATTAAAGGGTCGCAGCATTAGGAAGGTTGGAACCACTGCTCTAAAGGAGCCAAACCAGTGAAGTGTTTGATATATACACATCTCATACATAGAAAGACAGAGGGAGAAGAAAATGTTTATTTCAAGAAAAAGGACCATACAGTTGTGGAGGCTGGAAATCCCAAATTCAGGGCTCTAGCATCAGGCCAAGAGACGTCTCCTGATTTACGTGACTATAGGAGCTGATGAACCCAAATTGGCAGATCAGATGGCAGGCTGCTGGCTTAAGTCCCAAGAATTGAAGGTCAGATGAAGACCAGTTGGATCCAAGATCCAGAGAGTAAGCCTTGCTGAATGATCAATTTATATGCTTGAGACAGTCCACACACCCCAAAAAACTCCCCTTTCAACTGATTGAACACTCAACTCGGATCTCTTCTTAGCACTGATTATATTTTATCAGATCTAATCATTGATGTAATTGAGTGCATCATGTCAGATTTAACCATGAAAATAATTATATTCTATCACGTTATGGAAAAGTAATCAGTCCAATCTGCCAAACTACTGAGAATCATAGCCTAGCCAAGCTGGAACATACATTGACTATCACAGTCTGCCCCTTATCAACTGGCACCAGTATACTGTTTAAACTCGAGTATAAGCCAACATGAATATTAGCCGAAGCAACCAATTTTACCACAAAAACTGCATTCAAAATGTACTGAAAAACTTGGCTTATACACGAGTATATCCGGCATATCCCCTTAAACCATACTTAATCCCAAATAAAGGCAATTATAAGACCATATTTCTCCTAACATGATACAACTAACATACATACAACTAAAAATGAACTAGCCCCTTTACATCTTACATCCTATGAGCAGTAGGATAAGAGAATGAAGAAAACAAAAACAGTACACACATATGCAGGGACTTGAAGTAGTTCATGGTAAAATGGAATCACAAGATAATGGGATTTTTCCACCAGTTTTTCAAGCTCATATAGCACACAAACACACACACACACACACACACACACACAAAGGAAGAAATACTCATACCAAACAGTTGTTGATTCTGCAACTGATCACGTGGTTATAACTGATATTTAGAACTCCCTTCCTCCAGCACTTATTCCATATTCCCTTTGCCTTTCTCAAGTACCTCAGTTGTTTCTCTGTCCAGTGTGGTGGTGAACCATATCTTCATTCCTAAAGACTCTGGGTCATTAGTAGTCATGTCAGAATTTGGTTGCTGTGGTTTTTCATTACTTTTATTCACAAGGCAGGACAATATTTCTAAAAGATGCCTTAAGAAATCTCCCATATTTCAGACATATTCCCATTTTCTTCTTTACCACCATTATGTAACAGAAATTTAATTTCTCCTTGGTAATCAGAATCAATCATACTACCCAATATGGTAATTCTCTTCTTTGCCTGTTGACCCAGAGGCATACGGAGCCCAAAGTGGCCAGGTGACATTTTAAACTTTCAATTCAGTGGAATTTATATTGTACCACCGGATGGGGACATTCCTCCTTTTGAAACTAAGACCTCTCAACCTGCAATACTTAGGGTTGTGGAGACAGGAAGCAAAACTTTTGTGACTGGGTCATTAAGGATAACAGTGAGCGGTGTCACTCCTATTTCCACTCCTTGATTCCTGGACCCATGAATTCTGGTTATAAGAGAAATAGCACCATACTTTTGGACCCTGGTTTAGCATATATACTGCCTCTAAAGAATATTGTACCAACCCTACAAAGTATTGCCACTTATCTGCTACTATAATTGTGTCTTTAGAAGGCTAGTCCACTGTTCTGTCAAACCACCTCCTTCAGAATGAACAGGAACAGGGCAAAACCGGTAAATTCCATGAGCATGGGCCCATTGCCACACTTCATTTGCTATGAAGTGAATCTTGTGATTCGAAGTGATGCTGTGTCGGCTACCATAATGGTGGTATTCTGTAAGTCCACAGATAGTAGTTTTGTCAGAAGCATTGTGGACGGGGAGGGCAAATCTGTATCTAGAGTAAGTGCCTATCTCAGTAAAAACAAAATACTGCCCTTTCCACGATGGATGTGGGACAATGTAATCAGCCCGCCACCAAACTGCTGGCTGATCACCCCAAGGAGTGGTGCCATATTGGAAACTCAGTACTGGTCTCTGGTGGTAGTTTGGGAAGCCAACAATGTCTGAAGCCATGTTGGCATTGGTCAATAGAGGTCCATGTTGCTGCCTCCATCCTTGCTTCCACAGCCACTTTGTCTATAAGCCCATTGGACAATAACAGAAGGGACAGATCAACGGCCCACGTGGCAGAGCAACTTGCCTGGTAGCCTGAACCTGTCATAGAGCTCTCTCTTATTCTAAATTGTGCTTAAAAACTAGCAGATGTTTAATTCATTTAATAAAGAGGTTGGAATAGCATACCTAAACAAGGGCTATGCTGTCTCCAAAACCCAAAGAGACCCACCAGGCATTGTGGCCAGAAACAACACCTTTCCCTTCAAGCTTGAAGGGAAGCAACATGCTAAGTACAACTATACCCCTAAAGAGTTGACTGAGGTGGAAGGTACCTGGATTTTTATTGGGTTAATTTCCCACTCCGTAGCATTAAAAAAGGTCCAGATTCACTGACACTTCTTCCTACTAGGTCTAATCAGCATAATTTCATCAATGTAAAATATGAATGGGACATCTTGTGGAAGGGAATGGTGATCAAAGTTCCTGGGGACTGATGGTGAGAAGCTTGGCCAGATTCTGTACCCTCAAGGGATGTATTAATTGGCTCAAGCGATGAAACCACATCCAGTTATAATTAGAGTTAACACCTGGTTAAGTTTGCAACAATCCATTGTTATTCTCCAAGATCCATCTTTTTTTTTTTTTCTTCTTTGCACAGGCCAAATAAGAGAATTAAGTGGGGATGTGGTGAGAATCACCACCCCTACATTTTTCAATTCCTTGATGGTGGCACTAGTCTCTCAGATCCCTCCTGGAATGCAGTATTGCATTCAGTGTACTGTTTGCCTAGGCTGGGGCAGTTCTAATGGCTTCCACTTGGTCTTGCTATAGTAATAGCCTTAATCCACATGTCAACAAACCAATGTGGGTGTTTTGCCAGTTGCTGAGTATGTGTATTCCAATGATTCATTCTGGAACTGTGGAAATTACTACAGAATGGGTGTCAGAACTCGCTGGACTCCTTGTGAAATGTTCCTCAGCTAAGACTTCATGAAGAACCGAACTTCCATGTGCCCCTACTCTAACTAATGGGCCACACTGATGTTCTGAGTCTCCTGTAATGTGTGTCCATCTAGCACCAGTGTCCAGTCATTCCCCCAAAGTCTTGTTATTTCCTTTTCCCCCCGGGGAACACTTACTCTCTTAAAAGGCTATAGATCCCATTGGGGAAGACGGGGAGAAAGATTAATGGTATAATATTTTGGCAGTGACATGGGTTCTTCTTAAGGATACCCAGCTCACCTTCTTTCAAGGAGCTGTGGGTCTATAAACTGGTCCAGTTTGGGAGATGATTAAAGGGCCACGACTTAGCTAGCAATTCAAGTTAGACTGTCATTCCCTTGACCTGGAGTTCTTCTGCTTGTATAGATCAAGAAAACTTTTAGTACATTCCCCATCCATTCACCCCTACTAGTCAATACACAGAATATGCAACTCGTGTATTTACGGACAGCTTCTACTCTGCTGTGATCAGCCAAAGTCACCACACCCACCTTGTCTGTGTTGATTAAGTGCTGCCAGCTGACTCTGACCGCCATGGGGTTTAATCAGCTTCATGTGAATCAAACAACAAAACCTTGAGTTGATTTTGATTCATAGTAAGCCCATAGAACAGAGCAGAATTGCCCGCATGGGTTTTCAAGTCTGTAAATCTTTAAGAAGCAGATTTACCACATCTTTCTCTTACAGATCAGAAGCCTTGGGACAGCTTCTTCTACAGTTTCCCAGCCAGGTTTGACATTTTAACTTGATTGAATAGAGTCGGTCTCCTAATTCATGGTTCCGTGAAACAACCGAATCAATTTGATCCTTTTCCAATTTCTCAAGCTGACACACTGGTGAAGAATCTGGGCCAGTGGGCCCATATCAGTAAATTCATACTGCTTCAACTCTATGCTCCTTGCCCCATTATCCCACAACCATCATAGCCATTCCCATGTATAATCCCCAGGTTCGTTTGCATATATTAGGAAAACAAAAACAAGCAGTTGAAGAGTGTATCAGACCTCTTTCTGGATTATATTTTGTACTTCATCCCATTAATTCTAC